CAGGGGACACAGGGACATGGGGGCAACGTGGGGACAGCAGGGGACACAGGGAGTGGGGGGATAGTGGGACAACATGAGGGGGATATGGGGACACCTTGGGCTGGGGCTACCACCCTGGGGACATCCTGGGACTCCCTGGTTGTCACCCTGGACACACTCTGAGGACACCCCAGGTACAGGGACGTTCTGGGGATATCTTGGGGATGCCCTGGGGAGTGAGGTCATGGGGACATCATGAGGGGGACACCCTGGGGATACCCCAGGCACAGGAACATGGGGACACCACCCTGAGGACATCCCAGGAGGGGGATCGGGGTACACAGTGACACTTTGGGGGGGTCCCAGTGTGGATCTGGGGGGTCCCAGAGGGAGTTTGAGTGGGTCCCAGGGCAGGTTGGAGGGTTCTAGGCTGGATTTGGGGGGACCCCAGGGGGAATTTGGGTTGGATTTGAAAGGATCCTGGGGATTGTTTGAGGGGTCCCGGGCATTCTTGAGGGGGGCCCAGGGAGGATTTGGGGCGTCAGGAGATTTGAGGGTGGACTTAGGGGTCTCAGGGAGTGCTTGGGGAGTCCCAGGGTGGATTTGGGAGGTTCTGAGAGGGGCTGGAGGGTCCCAGCAAGGTCCCCGAGGAGTTTGGGGGGGTTCTGATGGGGACTTGGGGGTCCTAGAGGTTGGTTTGGGGGTCCCAGGGTGGTGTTGGGCTTTTGGGGTCGGTTTTTTGGGGTCTCACCAGGTGGGCAAAGGGGCCAGGCTGCAGCAGCAGGCAGGTGCCCATGGGTGGGTTTAGAGGTCCCAGGGTGTGTCTGGGGTCAGTTTGGGGGTCCCAGGGTGGGTTTTGGGGTCTCACCAGGAAGGTGAAGGACTCGGGCCACAGCAGCAAGTGGGGGCCCAGGGGTGGGTGTTGGAGGGCAAGGGTTGGTTTGGGGGTCCAAGGGGTTGGTTTGGGGGTGCAGGGGTTGGTTTGAGGTGCAGGAGTTTGGGGGTCAGTTTTGGGGTCAGTTGGGGGTCTCACCGGCTGTGAGAAGGGCCCAGGCCGCAGTAGCAGGCGGGTGCCCAG